GTGCAAATTACGCTGTTCAAGTTGTAAACTTTGAGCAAAGATTTTGAAAGTTGAACTCACTTAATTGGGACGTTCTTAATTCAATTTCATGCTCCGTTTTACCAGATTCGCTCTGGTTTTCGAGATAGCGGTACTTGAAAATATGATTAACTTTTAACTATTTTATAAATAATTCCCTCAGTTTTGAAGTTATTTTACTAAAATTTTGCACATAACACTTTTTTAATATTACCTTAATTATTCCTTAAAATTATCGAAATAGTTTCACATTAACATATAGCTCCAATACAACTGATTACTCAGATATGTGTTTTTGCGCTATAACTCTAACTTCATATCTGAATAATAAATTGTATCGTGCTATATGTTAAATTTAACCTATACTAAATTTTAACCTGTTTAATTGGATGAGTTATAACGCAAAACAACCACTCTGATCAATTAGTTGTATGGGAGCTAGATGTTTTAGTGAACCGATTTCGACGATTTTATGGAATAGTTATGGTAATATTAAAAAACGGTTATGTGCAAAATTTTAGTAAAATATCTTCAAAAATAGTTAAAATTTAAGCAAAACTGCGGACGCCATTGAATTTAGAAGGCTCCAATTAAGTAATACCAGGTATCAGAACATTTGTCGAAAAAAAGTTACTTTGATACCACTCTCGAAATATTCTGACTAAAAGAAGGAGCATCATTAAAAGTAGTAAATCTAGGATTTTACAAACTTCTAGAGACAAATTTTTTGAAGCAATTTACAGGTATATGTAAATTTATGAGGACTAGAAGTTATAAAAAGATTTAGATGGTTTCGACGTATTTTCCAAATGTGCCTTCAATTAAGGTGTTTTTGGAATAAAAATTACGCTCAAGATCGCAGAATATTTTATCTTTAAAAGTTAGTTTATTCTGAAAGCACACATCTTGCTAAGGTATCAAACTATTCGTAATTGTTTGTAGAATGCAACACATACCTAAAAGATTCTTAATATTAAATGCTTCAAAACCTATACGCGATAAACCAAAAATTTTGAAAATTGTGAAATGTTGAGTTACAGACTTTGAGTTACTTGCCATTTCGTTATTTTTTAAGGCACACTTTTCTTACCTACTACATATGAAGTGTACACATAAATAAGTGCTAAATGCCCATTTAATTTCAAATCAGAATATGGTGTGCTTCAAAAGTTATGACATAATTAATTGTGCCCTTCTTAAAAATTACATAAAAAATTCACTTGTTTTAATTTTTTTTTTAATTTAAACACCTATAATTCAAAAGTTATGCAGCAAATTGATCCACATTTTTTTTGAGGCTTCAAGTATACGTCAAGGAATTATATTCAAAAGCAACCAGCTTGATTTAGTTTATAACAGTGAAAATAAAGCTAAATAACACAAAGGTTACCTGTTTTTTAGATTTGCCCATATATATACAAAATACATATAGCAGCAGTTAATTTCATTTAAAGAAATGGCGTGTCGTCCACTTCCGCTGTAGCATGGCATATATTTAGGCGCAATATTAAAGTTCTTCTGGCGGGGAAATTTCTCGAGTCTTCTAATTGTATCTCCTTGATATGATGCCTACAACGATATCTAGAATTTGCCATAAATAGCTTTGCTCTGGTTTTACGTTCTTTGGCAAATTACGCTCTGTTAGCCATAAATTTTACTAATTTTTGACCGACTTTGAATCAAGACCCCTGGACCATATAGGGAATTCATTTATATTTTAAATTGCATTGTCATCGTGAAAATTTCAAGTCTCTAACTTGTCGGGAAGTTAGTTTAAAATCGATTGAAAATTTCCACGATTTGCGCGGGATGACCAAGTTAAATAAAAGCTTATAAAAATATTGAATTATATAATTATGATTTCAAATGTAACAAAAAAGGAAATAACTTTTATTACCGGAAATGTGAATAGAAGCATATAACAACCCTTTTTTTCAAAATAGGAGTGCCGCCGAATATTTATTAAATGGGGATTTTCAAAACTGATTACATGGCAATTCTGGCTAAGATATTTGAAAGTCTTTTGTAAGACAATTGAAAGACAGTACGCAAGCTAGTTTAAAAGATTTTGTTTATTCTGGCACAAACGTCTTACAAAAATAACTCCCTTAACAACTTTCATGGTGAAAAGCTCCAACAGTCGCAATGGCCGAGTGAGCAGAGAACTGGCGTACCATTCGAGAGTTCGAGTTAAAATTCTAGGACAATGGAATTTTTTTTTTTCTTTTTTTAACCGAATTTTTTTCTGTTTTTAAAGCAATTTTCATGTAAACTTTAGATTTTATTGTTTTAAAAAAGAAAATTATTTGGTTTAATTTCATTTACTAACTCATTTTCTGATTTTCCTTTCCTTTTTCTTTTTTAATTAAATTTTTAGATTTTATTGTTTAAGACAAATTTTTATTTAAATTTTCTTTAATCTTTCTTTTCAATTTCTTTTTTTCAATTTAAATTTTTGACTTTTTTAAATTTCATTTTGTTTAATTTCATTTAGTTTTTAGGAACTTATTTTATTTATTCTTTTTTTAATTATTATTTTTTATTTAATTTTCTTTTAATTTTTAGAATATGTATATTATTTAAAAAAAATATTTGATTTGATTTTTGGGAACTTATTTGGTTTTAATTATAATGTTTTATTTGAATTTTAATTAACTTTAAGATTTTATTGTTAAAAAAATTATTTTGTTCAATTTAACTTAATTTTTTAGGAACTTATTCTATATATATTTTTTTGTTTTAAATTAATTTTAATTTTTAATTTACATTTTATTTAATTTTAAGATATCAATATTTAAAAAATTAAATTATTTTGTTTCATTTAATTTAATTTTAATGAATTAATTTTTTTCCTAATTTTAAGATTTTATCGTTTAGGGAATATATTTATTTTAATTTCATTTCATTTTGTATATAAAAAAGAAAAATATTTTGTTTAATTTCATTTAATCTTTAGGAATTCATTTTATTTTTACTCCTTTTTTAAATTTTTTATTTAATTTTCTTTAAGTTTTTAGAATGTATTATTTTAAAAGAAACATTTTTGATTTTAACTTCGTATAATCTTTAGGAACTTATTTTATAGTTTTTTGTTTTTAGTTATTTTTTTATTTTTTTAAATTTAGTTTAATTTTTACACTTCATTGTTATAAAAAAAAATTATTTTATTCAATTTCATTTAGTTTTTAGGAACTTATTTTTTTATTTTGTTTATTTTTTGTCAATTTAATTTTTAGATTTTAGTGTTTAAGACACATATTTATTTTCATTTAAGTTAATTGGATTTTAATTTTTAGTCTTTATTATTAAAATTTTTTTTTTTCATTCGAATTTTATAAAACGTTGCGAAAAGACAAACAGAATAACGTTAAGACCTCCTCGTTAGCAGCAGCCGGATTCGCACTGGGCTATCGCTAAATTTGGTCGCCAAAAATCTCCAAAAGTATTAAAGAATTTTGGAGATGGAAATTTAGCGAAGCGATTACTACAATTCTACTACAATTCTACTGCAGATCTATCAAATAGTCTTTCGAAAGATTGTGGTGAGTTTAAAGACAGTTGCCAGAATTGCCCTTTTACTAATTTTGGTTTACTTTTGTGAATGTGGTCTTCGATAAAAAAAAAATCGATTAATCGAATTTTCCCCTATTCGATTTATCGATAATTATTTTCACCTGCATCTTTAGTACCATGCTATTTTAATTTTTCGATCTATCAACGAATCCATTTCATTCTTTTCGATTTATCGATAATCGATTTACTTGTATTTACTGCCACCCTTAGTACCATGCAATTTTTTTTACAAATTCTTGGTCTGCTCTATAGCATTTTCGATTACTGCGTTGGGTGCACGTATGCTGTCTCTCATTGACATTTGCTCCACTTGCGAAGCTTACGACTTGCCGTTGTCGTTACTTTTGTTATTGCACACGCTTACTTACTTTCAGTTAATACTATTACTTACTACTCCAGTTTTCTTAATGTTGTTTTCTATTTTTTGTTTTTTTTTTGTTTTGTTTTTTTTTTTTGTACTGAAGGCATTAGCATTAATAAGTTCTTGCACTAGTTGGTGTTCTCCTTTAACTTCTTTGTCTAATTCTTCTTATGGAGAGTCGTCAACTTAAATACTTACATACATACATATGCAACGCCGCTTGTTATTGTTCTTACATTTCTCCATCAACTTTGCTGCGGTCTGTTGTTAAGTGACTTTTGGGGCCAACTACTAGCCAACAATGAAAGTATTTAAATGGGAGTAGTGCTGCTCGTATTCCCGCGTACTCAAATTGCGCTCTCCAAAGCCAAAACCAAAACCAAGCCAAACTGCCGCCCAAGCCAGCACACACGCAGACCGACCAGCAACAATGGGCCACCACTGGCTGCCACCACCAGTTGGGGAGTTTGTTGAGTTTATTTCGTTGATTGTCGTTGTTTGGTTTCGACGTTTGGGTAACGGTAACGGTTCTTTGCGTATAGACATGTTTTCTGAATATTTGGGTCTAGTTGTATCCAAACAAAGTAGGCTAACGTTTGATGCCTTTGTTTTTGTTATTTTTCTTACTAACATATTTCGATAGTGAATGAATGAATGGCGGCGTTTGTATTGGCCGACAGGGTAAAGGGGAGTACAGAGTGTGCGGCATAAAGTTGGTAAAACTGGTAGTGGTGCAGGTAATGTGGATTTGTGTGTGTGTGTATGTGAGCGTTTCGCCAGCTAGGGAATTTCAATGCTTGGTCTACGATTACTAAATACAACAGCTGATAAGCTAAGTTATCAAATTACAAAAGAATATATAATTGTGTAAAAATGTATACTTAATGCGGCTATGACGAAATTTTCACCAAAGTTAAAAATAAAGTGAATGGAAATTTATAGAAAATTAATTATTTTTTTTGGATAATGATGGACAATTTTACAAATTTGAAACCAAGCAGCACCAAAAATAATTATCATAAATTTTAATTTCTAAATTGCAGCAGAACTAATGATATTTGGAGAGTTGAGAGTGCCAACCGCCGTGCAATCTAAGTTATACTGCAAAAACTGACTTAAAAAAAAAAATAGGTGCAAAATGTGCGCTAAAGTGAATTATAAAAGCATAAAGAGAACAATTTGTTCAAACAAGTGCAAAAATGGATAAGAAAATTAAATAAATTTCACACAAAAAAAAATAGTTTTGTGAGAGAAAAAAATTTTAGTGCAATAAAGTGCCCCGAAATTCCGGAGCTAGTTGTAGGAAAAACTGCAAATTTCCAAGCTCTTAACAACAAACTCTACTCCCAAACAAATAAGCAACACTAACAAACACAACAAATAATGCCAGCTGCTGAGCGCAGCAAACACAAAGGCGCCGCCACAGCGCCCACTCCACAACACAATGAGCGCCCACCTGGAACGCCTATGGTTAGCCATAGACTACATGAAACACTGCCTAGCCGCCTCCACCTTCACCTTCCGCGCAGCGGCTACACATTCCTGTGGCTTGCTGCGCTCTGTTGGGTAGCACCAACCTCAACCTCCGCGCAGTTGCAAGGCAACACACTTGTTGGCGGTGGCGGTGTTGGCAGTCCTGCAGAAAGCAGCAGCGAAATCGAGTTCGCCAGTCTAGATGGCGCCGACACACAACTACTCACACCTTTGTTGCCAGCGCCGAGCACTGTGGCGCCACCACCATTAGAGGTGGTGGAATTCGTGGAACCTGCGCCTGCTCAACCAGTGATGTCATCGCCATCATTGTCGTCGTCATCGTTATCGGCAGCGACAGCGGAAGCGGAAGCGGCGGCGGCGGCATCAAGTTACACCGAATTGCAGGGTGGCGAAATCAATGGCGAGCGGACGTTGCATTTCAGTGAAAGTCCTTTTTTGGCACGCCAGCACATCGAAGTGGCCAGGGGCGCTCGGCTGATCATCGAACCGGGTGTGCGTGTGGAATTTGCACCCACTGTGGGCATAACTGTGCGCGGCGTACTGCATGCGGTGGTGAGTAGAAAATTGTCTATAGATATATTTTACGAAATTATTTTCTTAATAATTTTTTTAAACTGCGCTTTGCCTTTTACTAGGCATTTTTGTAGTGTAAGAATGAGGTACTATTTTGTAGTGTTAGAAGGCAAGTGAGTGATAAGACAATTGCAATATTTAATTAATTATGACTGGCATTCCGCAGGCAGCTTCTCTGACATATAAACAAAAATGATTACATTTGCATTAACCAACATAAACTTTATTCTATTTTACCGTATTGACACTTTTGAACTTATATTTGCATCAGAGTTCCTATTTCAGGTTGTAGTGAGTGTTGCCAGGTTGCTGTTTTTAGCGTCATTTTAACGTTTTTTACGGTCTGTTGACGTTAAAACATTTTTTGGGTCAAATATGACGTTTTTGTAATAAAACCTCAACTTTACAAATGGAAAGCTTTCGGAAGACAATTTTCTAGTACCAGGCGGGTGTTTCCGGTTATTTCACAATTCAACGAATGATGAAAGAATTTTATCATTTCTGTATGTATACATTAGGGTGATCTTTAAACCAGTTCTAAGGCGGTTTTTTGTTTTGAAATCCTGATTTTTTGAACATCAAATAATCCGGTTTTTTGTTATCGAATAAACTAGGTATGAATAACACCGTGCGACTGTAAATTTTACACACAAAAAAATGAATATATTCGCGAAACTATGGGTAAATTTTTGTAAAATTGCGTACTTAGCTTTTCTCTCTGAAATTTAAAAAATATGATTCTGAAAATATGAAATTCTGTAGAATTATAACAGAATAAATTTTTGGTGCATATAGACGAATGGGTATGGAAAATGTCCTTCAAAAATTTTTTCCTTAAATATCCTTGAAAATTGCAATATTTTTTTTTGTGAAAAAACTATTGATTGAGGACTAATATACGCACGACCTTATCATCGATTTTCGTCGTGCAAACTTTGTTAACTTAAAAAGATAAAATTTATTAAAAGCACATTTTAAATACATATTCGTTCTCTTTCATTTTGTACCCATATTGTTATTCTACATTGCACTGATTTTTTTTTAATATTTTTTTTAATTACATAATCATATTGTTAAAACTTCAAAGTCCTTTGAAAAAAATCCTGGCGTCAGACTGAACAACTAAAAACGTAGTTTTAATATATTTGGCCCATAGTTTCGTGAGTTTATTGATTTTTTCGTGTGTTTTTATATTTTTTTGTCTTTGTCGCACGGTTATATATTAAAAAAAAATGCGGTTTATCCGGTTTTTTCTTAATTTCAAAAATAGGGGCCTTTTTATTTAAAACTGCCACTTTTAGAATAATCGGTTTCGAAAAAAATTCAAATAACCGACCATCGAAGAGTGCGCACATATCGCTTGCATTGCAGCCAGTGTCCCGAAAGCAATTTAAGTGAAAAATTATTTTTTAATGGAATTTAATATGAAAATGTTTGACGCACTGTAAAATAGATTTACCAGGTCCGGAGCCACACTTTTGAAGTCTTTTCCATTCGATCAAGAAGGTATTCAGTCTTTCCCACAGGTGTAGCAGGCAATACCTTATTTGCAATGTTAAGAAGGCTTATAAAGCGATAAAAGTAAAGGAGATTCAAATATTTTTTTGATTAGACCTTATTCCATTTGAGAGCTGTTACATGCGCAGACCTATCTTCAATTGCTACCTTATTTTGTAATTGAGTTTTCTGGTCGAGTACCTATCTATCATCCTCTCAAGCAGTTTGCACTCAGGTCTTTCCTCCTTTGTGTTCTCATTCTCTTTTCCACTTTCCCCACGGTAGCAGCATGGGTATATTCGTCATACCAGTTATATTGTGTAGATGGTATATATGTATGTAGTTAGTAACCAGCTACATATATCATTCACAGAGGTACGAAGTGATTGGTGGATTAAGTCCCAGTGCTCATATATATCCATGCGACGAGCAGTAGACTTTGAATAGGATTGAGGGTTGATTGCTTTGTTTGCAAAGTTGTATTTTCATCGCGTCATGTCCCACGACGCGTCGAAGTCGATCAGTCAGCAGAATCTACCTCTCCGTTATAGGAAGTAGTTTCGTGGTAGCTGAATTTATAGACTGTTGAACCATATTACCTTCTTGGGTTACCTTAGCGTTAAAGTCCTCAAGCATACATAATGATATTGTGCTCATGAGTTTGTTCTAAATGCCCATATAAATCGACTTTCACATGCTGACGGCCACCGTAGCCTAGTGGTTAAGGAATTTTTGAAAAATTATTTTGTACTGAAAATAGGGCGACAAATTTAGATTAATCGATGAACTAGTTTTCGATAAATCATCCTCACTCATAATGCATCATCTTGCTAATCTGATGATTCTATCCCAATCGCTTTTGTTGTTTTAGCATTTTGGCAAATTTTTACTAGAACTGCAGTAATTACAATACATATAGTACATATGTACGTATCCACCTGCCATTTCACTTGTTGCCACACAATTTTTATCAACGCATACAAACAAGTAATTCCACTGTCAACACACTGTCTCTACAAAAACGTTAAAAATTACTATATAGCAAATAATTGATTTAATAATCGCAAAAGTAAGCAAACGATATCGAAACTTGCTTATCAATCGAGCGATAAGGCAATAAGGCTACACACGCACTTATATATTTATATATGTATGTATGTATATGAAAACGAAATGAATAACTGTGTGTAAAAAGCAAAGCTTACGGTGGTGTCACAGCTGTTTATATCATACACGTTTGAAGAAAGAGGTGTTCCGAGGATGCGCCAAGAAATATAGGGGAACTTATTTCAATGAAATAAATCGAGAGAACTTCATTTCACAAATTTTAGGTATTAAATCCAGTTTCTTAAGTATCTTGAAGATTTCAACCTAAAAAAATTCCAAGATTTATAAGAGTTCAACCGTAATCAGTATCCGAAACGCCTGTTCCTAGATGCCTAGGGTCATAGATTAAAATTTAATCATTAAATATTATGCTTTTGCC